CTCTGGGCTCTGGGCTCTGGGCTCTGGGCTCTGGCTCTGGGCTCTGGCTCTGGGCTCTGGCTCTGGGCGAGTTGAGTCCAAGGTGGCCAGGAGACATCCAGTTGTTGTTGTCCAAAGGCCGTGAAAATTTGGGCTCGACTCCTCTGGACATAAATGGCTCATCAGTGAGTCGACAAAGGAAGTCATCTTCCCACACCGATCTTCACCGTGACTTTTCTGGCTCCAAACATGTTTCTCCCACATTTGTGGGACGCTTGAGCCCACCTGATATCGTCGTGCGTAGAAGCACGTCCTGGGCCCCTCGGCCACTTTCTGGGTGTGCTCTTCTAAGGGGTGAGCTCCTCAGAGCTCCCTGAACAGCCACATGGATGTCTGAGACACACCCTACCTCTTTTATTACTGACATCTTTACCAATTTCATGGCTTTTAAGTAAAATTATTTCCATTTTCATGGTTTCTAATTAGAATGATTCCCAAGTTCATGGTCTCTAATTAGAATAATTTCCAGTTTCATGGTTTCTAATTAGAATAATTTCAAGCTTCACTTCTGGGACCACATTTTAACGAAAGATGTTGACAAACTAGAACCTGTCCAGAGGAGGGTGACCAGGATACGAAGTGGAGAGCAAATAGCAGGTGATTCAGTGAATCTAGAGCCAGGCTGGTGGCAGGAAAACCCAAGTTCAAAGCTGACCTCAGATACGTACTAAGTTTCTATTTCCGTAGTTTCTTCTTCTGTAAAGTGGGGATAATAGCAGCACCTACCTCCCAGAGCTGTGAGGACCAAATGAGATAATCATTATAAAGTGCTTAACACAGGGCCCGGCATACAGTAGGAGCTATATAAATAGTAGTTATTATTTACAAATGTTAGCTATGAGTATCTATTTGGCTCCTACCATGCACCAGACACTGTCTGAGCTGCTTGGGCTACAAAGTCACAGATGAAATAGTCCTTGCCCTCAAGGAGCTTTCACTCTATTGGCATAGGAAACAATGTGTACATGGATGAAATACACCAAGTCTATTTAAAGTAACATGCATCCTTCTCTGAAGGAGCTGGGAATGCTTAGCCTAGAGAAGAGACAGCTAGTGGAGACAATGTAACTGTCTTCAGACATTGTTTGTCCTTCATTCTCGAAGAAGACCATAGAACCATGACGTCAGGGAGTGGATGCCATGACTTGTAAATGAATTGGATGTAAGTGAGGGAGGATTGTGCAAAGTCACCAGCTTACTTTCTCCTCTGGAGCCATCTGGGTCCAGTGGCTTGATGTAGATCAGGACGCCAAGAGATGGCCCACGATGCAGTGGGATACCTTGGCCTTTTTAAGCTAAGGTCCTTAACAGGTCTCAGTTTGACTGAGGCAACACCCATTCAGTGATTAAGGCTAAGTAAGAACTAAGGCAGAGGATGGCCTCTTTAACCTAGTTAAAAAATAAAAAAAAAGTCAATCAGGGAAAGACCCTCAGGATTTCTGACCAAAATAGAAACAATCACTGTTTACACTCAGTGTGAGGTAATCAGGGCCCAAATAACGACCAAGTAGGGCTTGGTCTGGGACCTACTGTTGGCCAATCAATGAGAGCCAGAGCTATCTGAGCTTAAGGCATGGTCCTTAAGAGAAAAATGCAGCCTGTAAACCCCAAGATATCTTGTGAGGTTTCAGCAGTCAAAATTTATATTCCTTTGGGCAGAGCTCCCCCAGGTAAGGATATTATACCCTATGTGGAGAGAAGGAAGGGAAAGAGAAAAAAAAGAAAGGAAGGAAGGAAGGATAAAGAAAATATTGTAGGGTCATCATGAAAGGAAGATTCTGCTTGGCCCCAGAGAGCACAACCAGGAGCACCAGTGAGGGTGGGGCTGAGGGCAAGCTACAGGGAAAGATGGGGACTGTGAACGCCCTGGCACTCAGGGACATCCCCAAATAGGGTTAGCTCTTTGGGGAGGCAGTGAGTGGGCTCCTTTCCCTTGCAGGGCTCCAGGCAGAGGCCAGACCTCCAACGGTCTGCCAGGGGTTTTCTAAAGGGGGTTTTCATGTACATGTGGGTGGGGTGGACTGTGTGCCTCTGACCTCTGCCTCCCCCTGCCCCTCCCCCCACACACTCACACAGATTTGGTGAATTTTGTCATCAAAATTCTACTTTTATAAAGGCAGCCAGCTCCCACTTTGGAGCCACTTATCCTCCGAATGTTTTGACCTCTATTTTTCTAATGTATAGGTTACTGTAAAAATCTTTAAAAAACCTAACCAAGCATTCCAGTTCAAATGAAATATTCTGATGGTTTTTATCTGGGCTCTCTCCAGCCCTTCCCTTATTCTCGTCTTCCCTTTGGACCATCCCACATTTTTGGTGATCTATGGTGACGCTGGTTTCTACAAGTCAGTCTCAGCAGGGAAAATTGGAGGCTGATATTGGGGCCATTCTGGGAATTTCACACTCAGCCTGTGAGACAGGTCTCTAGCATTTCTTAAAGGAGCCTTCACTAATGTTCCCTGCAGTCCCTTTGTATCAGGTTCAAGGTGGTCAGGTCCCATGCCACAAATGATGGGACCCTGTCTCTTCCCTTCCAGTGTTCATCACGGCCTCAGGACTCCTGGTCTACCCTTTGGGTCTCGGCTCAGCTTCTGTGAAAAGCTCTTGTGGGAACACCGCCGGCATCTACAATGTTGGGAGCTGCCAGCTTGGCTGGGGTTACACGCTGGCCATCGTAGGGGTCATGCTGTCAGGCTTCTTGCCCTTCTTTGCGAAGTATGCACCCAAAGAGCACATCTCACCAACCCCGATGCCCGCTATTTTATAGCAGTTGTTACCAACAAAAGGACACCTCGTCTAAAACAAATGGGCAGAAGGTAGAGGAGTCTCTTTTTTATTTTTTTGCTTTATTGCTAAAACAAACAAACTCAATGGGAACAAGGGGGTCTGTTTGCCAGCACCCCAAACTGCCCTGACCGTCTTCCATCCAAAGGAGTGCCTAAGTGTGGGGTTCCAATAGAATTCCCGAGAATCCAAGGAGACTCTGTCCTCGTCCAGGCAGAGATCCCAGCCACAAGGGTCGGGCAAACCCACACCTGTCTAGCCTCAGAGGGTGGCATCTACCTCCCAGTTTCTTTTACATCACAAACACGGTCAATCTTTTTAAAAAGTAATTCATTTTCATTGGTGACTAGATATTAAATTCTTTTATAAGCCCAGTTATGACTACCGTCAGGGTGCTTTGTCGTGTCTAAAGAGTAAATTCTCTCTGTTGGCCAGAAAGCAGACCCTGGGTTATGCATGGTCAGTTAGAGGCAGATGGGTCTTGGAAATAGAGATTGGCGGTTTAGAAAGGCCTGCCTGCTCTTCATTTCCCAGGGCTTAGAGCCATGGGAGACCTTACAGGCCATCTGATCATCTTATGGATGAGGACCCAGTGGCTGCCTATGCCCAGCAAAAGGAAGGGCCGTGCCCAACCAAAGTCATTCAGAGAAGGCAGTGAGTAGCAAAGCAGGATTCAAACCCAGGTCTGCTGACTTCATAATCAAGGGTTCTTACCATTGTATCATGCTGTTTTCCAATTGGTTATTTTGAAATTTTCCTTAAAAAGACTTTGCAAGTTATATCCCTTGGTTAAATATTGGCATTAAGTAGAACAAAATGGAACAGCCAGAGATTTGACTGATGACATATAGATTTGCTTGGGACCAACTTGAAAGGTATTGGGATAAAAAAAGGCTGCCATTTTAATAAAAGGGAGAGATTTTCTTAAAACACAAACATCTTTCCACTAGTGTTAGAACATGGGCCACTGCACATTTGTGCTGACCACTGTGTGTGTGTGTGTGTGTGTGTGTGTGTGTGTGTGAGAGAGAGAGAGAGAGAGAGAGAGAGAGAGAGAGAGATGGCTACATTATCCTATCTCAAGAAATCTTGAGCATTTTTTGAGGGTCTCATCTTTGTGTGGAATCACATTGGTTTTTCTATTGCAGGAGAGTACAACAAATACACCATTTGCCTTAACCAACAGAGGAATTGGGTTCCAAGCTCACTCCATTGCCACATCTCATTGGGGAAAAAAGATCTGTGGTCCCACGCACACCCATCTTCCTAGTAATTAACAAACAGAGAAGGACCTAGGATCTATTTTCTAACCAGAAATCTTGTCTGATGCATTTTTGAGATGGTGCATGCTGTCTTTGATTGGATCCATCATCATAGTTAACAATTTTTCTGAGTCCTAAACGGGTTCTTTGTCCATTATTTCTCAAGAAAAACGTACTTGAAGGAAACTAGAGGAAATGTTAGGGAAGGACAAAGACCCAAAACAGAGAAAAGCCTCACCTGGGAATAAAGTAACAGAGGCAAATGCATTTGTACCATTAGAGCTTCCTGAACCCTTCAGATTTCAAACTGAAGAAGAGAATTATTTTTAGCACCATTTTAAGGTATGTTCTCATGAACACCCAGGGGCATATTGTTCGTAAGAGGTAATGTAAGTGAAGGGAAATTAAACGGTGAAAAGAGGAAACATTCTGGGGAGTCTGCTGTGCTGCCCAGAGAAGGGCTATGCCACATGAAAAGGAGCAGGAAGTCTGCAGTGAGTCCAAGGACACACACACGCACATGCATGTATGCACGCACACATGCACATACAATGTGCATGTCCACAATGCCCACAGACCCACATGTGTGCCCACGTGTGTGTACATGCACACAAACATGCACACACAATCTGCACACGCACACCCATACATATGCTTGCGCACATGCACACACGTGTCCCACCTTTCTTCAGGTGCAGTCACAGAATGTGACACATTCTGGGCTCTTGTTTTCAGAGTTGCTGAATGATGTAATTAAGAGCCCAAAAGATGGGGAAGAGGCAAGAGGAAGGGGAAAAACGACCGATGTCAGGTTATTTCCCTCGTGGCTTGTTAGGAAAGAGAACTTTGTTTTCTCAAGCCACCTAGTCCAGAAAAACAAAGATGACATTTGGGGGTCTCATTCAGAAAGATGCTACTCTTTCTGCAGGTCTGGAGCAGCCAAGAATCCGCCCCTGCTCCTAGAAAGGGCGAGAGAGAAACAAATTTTGATTCCCTAACCGGTTCGTGCCTTTCCAGTAGAACCTATTCATTCCTGCTTTCAAAAGCAACCAAACCACCCTCGCCCGCCGAGAACGGTGGCTGGAGACCAGCGGGAGCCCCAGCATCCTTTGTGACTCCTCCTCGTATCGAGCAAAGTGCAGTGTTTACACTGGTTTCCCTCATGTCTGGTTGGGAAAAGTGATTGATTAGCACAAAACTAGCTACCGTGCGGACCTGAGAAATCCCGACGCCGGTAGCCTTACCTTTTGTAAGCTTCACAGGTGTAGATTCCTTCACAATTACAAGTGAGCTTCTCCAGAATGTTAATGCACCCCATGACTTCTCACACATTATGTGGGAAATCTTCATTTTCCAAAATGTGAAGTCAACTTGCATATTTCCATTTTTGAATATTTTTGCATTTCCAAAACTAATGCTGCCATTTATCTCACTAAATTTTTCAAAGAAAATATCCTTAATTTAACGAATCACCACGTGTTTATTAATGCTGATAAATCACTTTTTAAACAACTCACATTTGTAAGTTGAACTGCATCAACTGTTTCTTTTTCTTCATTATTATTTTTTAAACATGAAACTTACTGGTTCAGGTTCAAATTCAAGGGTTGTTTTTTCTAAATTAAAAATCGTTTCAAGTGTAACTAAATGATGTGCTGTCTCTACTGTGTTTCTGCATTAGTGCAATGGCCACTTTGGGGATGAGGACAGTTTTCTGTGCTTGCTGAATGAATATTTCAGGTGTTGCAAATGCTGGCATCTCCCATTAGCCGACACTGTAAAATAAAACACGTCACCTTGTTCACTCTCTTCCGTCTCTTTGCTTGGCTTTTCATCTCTGTGAATGTCTTTTTGTGAGAGAATCGGACATAAGTTTGGGAGCAGAAATCATGGCAGCCAGCAAGGTTCGCGAAGCACTTCACAATTATGATCTCATTTGATCCTCACAACAACCCCCATTTGACACTTGAGGAAACTAAGTCAAATAGACTTAGTCAAGGGACTTGCCCAGGGTCCTGCAGCTAGGAAGTCTCTGAGGCTCCATTTGAACTCAGGTCTTTGTGACCCTGGGACTGGCCCACTGTGGCGCCCCCAGTGGCCTCAGCAGAGTTGTTGTCTCCAAGCTGAAGAACTGGTCCGGGGTATCCTGACCACCAGGGCGAGGTGCTGCTCAGTACAAGTTCCACACTCCGGGGGAGCATAATTAAAACTGACACTCAAACAAACGTTATAGTTTACACGCGCTATAGGCATCAGCCCTGTGGAGTAAATGCTGTAGGTCGTGTACCCGTCCTACAGCTGAGCAAACTGAGATGCAGTGAGTTTAGATGATCCAACTGCGGCCACACGGCAAACATCCGCAGTGGGCTTTGAGCCCAGACTTCTCCGGCCCGCTGCCTGGACGTCCTCTGGGCAAACCAAGGGGATGCCTAGAACCACTCAGAGGTAGTCATGGAAATCATGTCTCCAATCTGTCAGTACGACCCAGCACGTGGGGGATCAGGGGCAGTATGGGCAGCCTGGGCGCTAGGAAGGTCTAACCACGGTGTGTGCGTGTGTGGGGGGGTGCGGGCCCTTGGCACAAATGGCGCTGACAAGCTGGGCCAAGCTATCGGGGACATCCTCCCCCAGCGGCACGGCAGGCATACTCAGGGAAGTGGGTCTAACCAGACTGGAGCAGAACGTGCGGGTCCAAGCTGTTCATCTGACTGCCCTGAGCAAGGGGGGAGGGAGATGTTCATGGACCACTCAGTGCCCCTCCCCTCCCAGGAACCTCCAGGTGGGAGAGTGCAGGCTTTTGAAGCACGCAGCCATGGAACATCTGGACTGGTTCTGGGGTCTTGTCCCAATTAACTCCCTGTGGGAAACAAACACCTGCCTCCTTCCCCCCTCCCCTGGCTGGCAAGGGGCCCAGGAAGGTCCAGACTATGAAGAGCTCCTCCTCTTCCAGGAGCACCAAGGGCAGGTGGAGTCCGAGCCCCCACCAGTGGTCTCAGCAGCGAGAGGAACCTTACGTAGCAACACCCTGTGGAAGCCAGAATGGATTTGAAGGGAGGTAAGCTGAGGTTGGAAGACCATTGAACTGACCAGATGAAGGGAAAGGGTCCGGTGGCAGAACTGACAACTCTGAGAGGGCTGAGTAGGGTAAAGGTTCTCGGGAGACACCCGGGGCCTACTTTGGGGGTTTCCTTCTGCCCCTGGGTATGGAAACGGTCCAATGCCCACTGGCGTGTTGCCATGGTAACCCCTAGGGTGGCCGGCAGATCATCAGAAGAGGCTTCAAGTTTCTCCTGGATGGAGGCTAGTGGGAAAAACCGAGGCAAGAATCCACAGTCAATAGAGCGTAGTGGGACGATTACTAAATTTTGTTTTGTTCTTGCTTTCTTTGCCAAGGAGAAATGACATATGGACTGGAAATGACAAAATGAAAATGACTCAGATGCCCAGAGCAAATGAAGAGATAATAAGAGGCTACCCAGCAAGGTGGTACAGTGGATAGTGCTCTGGACCTGGAATCAGAAAGAGCTGAGTTCAAATCCAGCCTCACATAATTCCTGGCTGGCGACTCTTGGCAAGTCACTTCACCACTGCTGCCTCAATTTTCTCACCTTTAAAATGGGGATCATAGTAGCACTTACCTACCAGGATTGTTGTGAGGATGAAATAAGATTCCGTGTGTAAAGCTCTTTGCCAGCCTCGAAGTGCTCCATCAGCGTGGGCTGTAGCTGCCTCGATGTTCTTGACGCTAGGCTCAGATGAACCTGGCTGGCATGACCAGGAAGCCACGGCTCTGTCCTTTGAGAGATAGTGGGGAGAGGGAGGCCTGAGGATGAGCAGCATGTGAATTTCCTGGTTTTCTCAGAAATGGGAGATGGCCCACAATCTACCAGTCAGCAATCTTGACTTTGATTCCAAAGCAAATTCTGACCCCAAGAAAATTTCTGGAATAAATGATGATGATGATGGTGATGAAGGTGGTGATGATGATGATGGTGATGGTGATGATGATGACGGTGATGGTGGTGATGATGACGGTGATGGTGATGATGATGATGATGATGATGGTGATGGTGGTGATGGTGATGATGGTGATGGTGGTGATGGCGATGATGGTGGTGATGGCGATGATGGTGATGGCGATGATGATGGTGGTGATGATGGTGATGATGATGATGATGGTGAGTCATCATCATCACCACCGCCATTTATTAAGCACCTACTGTGTGCTGTACTGTGGATACAAGAGGAGGCAAAAACCAGTCCCTGTTCTCTGGGAGCTCAGTCTAATGGGGAAACAACATGCAAACAAGGAGGTCCCAACAAGCTATAGATGTCGTAAACAAGCAACAACGAGAAGGTGCTAGAAATAAGAAGGATCGGGAGAGGCTTTCTAGCGGGGGTGGGGTTTTGGCTGGAGCTTGAAGGAAGCCAGGGAGCCGGGAGATGGAGATGAGGAAGAGAGCCTTCCAAGGCAGGGGGGATGGCAGGCCAGAGTGGGAAGGGACGGAAAAGGTCTTGTGGCGGACGATGACTGGGTTTGGTAACGATCTGATCCCCACCGGCGTGTTGCCATGGATGCCCCAGAGAAGCACAATTCCTCCCGGGCTGCCAGTCGCTGGGCTCAGGATGTCGCAGCCACTCGGCCCCACGCTGACCCGAGATTCTGCCCTGGCCTAGCTAAGTGTCCCCCATGCCAGCCCACCTCCACCCTCTGTTTCAGACAGGATCTCACATGGGTGGGAGGTCTGTGCCACTGGCTGATGAGCAGACCCTTATGCGCCAACCTTTCCCTGTAGAAAAGGACCGGTGACAGTAGGTGTGTCACGGCACTGCCCAATGTGTGCCCACGGTTAAAATGTGTACGTGAGCCAACGCCAAGCGAAGCATGAAACAGGGAAACGGATGCTTGCCAAAGGAGGTCCTGATCAGTACAAATCGGATTCCCTATCCAAGGTTGGCATCCATAAACGGAAGCGTCTATAGATGTGTGCATACGTTTATGTGGCTTGTGTATACATGTATGCACACATATGTATGTACACATATATACACACACGCAGGATGGAGACCTGTGCCATCTGGGGAATCGAGAGACAGAGAACAAGGCGGTAAAAGCAGTTCAGGCGGCTTAGACGCCTCCCCCTCCCAGCAAGGGTTCCTGATCCCGGGGCCAAGGCTCCTTCCCATTCTCCATGCAGGGCAGCCTTCTCTTGGACCACCCCTGGCTCCGAGAGGACACGTGGAACAGAACAAAGGCCTCAGAGGCACTGGGCCGACTCTTGGCAGAGGATGAATGGGAGACGGACCAGAATCACACGGGCTGAGGTGTGGACGTGCAACTGGCTGTTCCAATGACCACACCAAGGACATCATGGAAATGCTGAAGTTAAACTCACTTTATTTACAAAAGATGGTACAGTTGTAAACAGGCTAACCTGGCCCAACACTACCTATGTAATAAATAACAGAAACCGTGAAAAATTCAACATTCAAGTAACTCAGCAGCGCTTACTAAAGGTATGCCTGGAGGTGTCGCTGCCTCACAGAAGGCCGGCTTGTTCACATCTCGCTCATGGCGCTGGCGTAATAGGACAGCTTGGCGTCCGCGGTTCTGACAAACTCCTGGAACGTTCTTTGCTCGGAAGCAGATGCAGGCCTGACGGACACACACTGGAGGAGGCCCCTCTTTGGGTCGTAGCTGCCCACACACCTATGGATGTGGCCTCTTATCAGCCTGGGAAGCTCGCGGTCCTAGCAGTAAAGCAGTGTTACAAATGGAGTCTGGTCTTCCCAACAAATCCTAAACCAGTCATCTCACAAGGTCAGTGGTTTGGAGCTGGAAGGAATCTCAGAGGCCGTCCCGCCCAACCCCCTCATTCTACAGATGAGGAAACTGAGGCGCACAGAGGTTATGGGACTCACGCAGGTGCACACAGTGATAGAAGGTGGATTTCAGCTCGTCTTCCTGACTCCAAGCTCAGCTCTCTATGTGCTACATCAACTTTGCATGTGATGGGGAGCACTGGCCTCGATAATTAAAAGCTCTAGCTTGTCTACATCTCTGGTCAGGCTTGGGGCTGTAAGAAAGCGGTGGGTGATTTTCCCTACTGACACGATCCCCAGCCCTCTGACCTCTGCTCTGCTCAGGCCACATTTGGAAGGCGGGGTTCCTTTATGGTGCCCCCTTCTAGGAAGGAGATGGACAATCTGGAGAGAGGAAGATGATCACAACACGACGGGCCAGGCAGAGAGAAAACAGGAGGGGCCCCAGAGGCCGAAGAAAGGAGGAGGCAGCATGGGGCCCTGGGGGAAGTGCTGGTATGGAGTCCCAGGTGCCCACCTGGGCTGCCACCCTCATCCTGACAGTCACTGCCTGTGGGACTTTAAACCTGCAGGGCCTCAGTTTCCTCCTCTGTAGAATGAGGTCGCTTCTGGCTCTCAATCTATGCTGCCATGACCCCGGACAATTAACAGACGCTCCCTCTAAGGACAGTTCGAGGCACTCCAAAGTGGAATCCCCTCACCCTCCCCCAAGACCACTGCTGGAGGCTTCTGAGCCATTGCCACTTGTCGGGCTGTGGGGAGCAGGTCTGGATGGAAACACGTTCTCAGGGAGGTCCCCTCCAACTCTGACTCAAGTCAGCAAAAGTGGGGCTTATTTTTTTTAAAGGTTATTTCTCGGGGCAGCTAGGTGGCACAGTGGATAGAGCACCAGCTCTGGAGCCAGGGGGACCTGAGTTGAAATCTGACCTCAGACATTCAACACTTATTAGCTGTGTGACCCTGGGCAAGTCACTTAACCCCACTGCCTTGGAAAAAAAAAAAGGTTATTCGTCAAGAAGAGAAAACGAGCACGTCTGCAGGACATTGCACAGACCAGAATATGAGCACAGGAGGGAACCATGGCTTCTTCATCTGCTCAATGAGAGGCCTGGCCCGGCACCTGGGCAGGATCAAGCTCCAGGAGGAATCCAGCCTCCCAGGCCGCCCCTCCAGCAGGAATGATCTCAGCCCCAGGGTCCTCCTGAGCTGCAGTGCTTTCTCTTAAGCAAAAATGCTGCCTTAATAATGTCGTCTAATGAGCGGACGTGTGTTTTTTAAACTGGTTCTTTCCAACTATGAGATTATGTGATTCCATTAATAAAAATCTGCAAGAAAAACATTTGATTTTTTTCATCTTTGGACTTATTTGCAAACAAATCTGGATTGTTGGAGGAAGGCTTTCGCCTGCTTTTTGGCTGGCCCCTTAAGAAAATGTTGAACAAATACTTACGATTTCATAAAACGCACATGGCACGGTGCTCTTTCCGTCTCTCAGGAGAAAGGTCTTGGCACCGTGTGCACCTGATGTAACAGCTGAGTCAAGAGTGCCTGCCACCCGGGAGGAAAGAACCACATGACTGCCCACACAAGCCACAGGCACCTTGGGCTTTGGCCACACTGGGGTTTGCGGACTTCCCACCACCTCCTCTGGACAGCCATCTCAGAGAAGCCTGGTAATGGCCTTTTAAAGGCCTCCAGATGCTTGGCCCATCTCTTTGTCTCAGTATGTCAGCTGAGAAGACGCCCAGGAACCAGTCACAGGGCCCAGGCCAACACATGCTCTGCCAGCAATCTGCAGAAGGCCGAGGGCCAGAGCAGAGGCCAGCCTAGTGGCGCTCCCTCGGCCCTTCCCGGTGAGCCCCTGAGCCGGGGGACGGCTTTCCTGGAGCATTTCTGGCCTACAAAAGTCTTGGAGAGGGAGCACGTGGCCCCTAACCCTGAGTGAATGAGCTCAGGCTGCAGTCCCCGGCCAGGCCTGCCCAAAGTACCGGGCTGCAGAACTGGCCGCCACTGGACTGGGGGCTGACAGCTCCCTGGGCGAGGCTCTGGAAAAGAGCTGACTCCCAAGGAAAGATGGGACTTGGGAGCGCACAGGCCAGCAAGGCCCATGTACATCGCCTCCCTGGTGCCCACGCGCGTTCACACTGGGCTTCCGGGAATGGCCAGCAGTTACTTAATCTGTCCACGGCTCCAACTGACACTCTCCACCTTCCCATTTTTCCAAGGGTTACCAGACCTCGCCAAATTCCCCTCTTGCTGAGAAAGGGTGCCGTGGAAGAGTTGTGGTGATTAGACTCTGCCTGGGCTGATTCCCCACCTCGAGCCCTCCAACGAGGCCTCTAACGAGGCCACGTCAGGGCACGGAGCTGACTGCCAAGAGGATGCCACAAGGTCTGGCCCAGCCGGGGACAGGAGCCTGGGGTGGGCGGCCTGTGTCTGCCTGCCTAGGTCTGGAGAGCCCCAGCTCAGCTCCGCTCCAAGGGAAGAACACTGAGGCCCCAGAAGCCCCTGCAAGCCACCACCTAAGTCGCAGACGGATCCTCGGATGCCCCAAGGACAGCTAGGTCCCCATCAGTGTGACTAATGAGCCACCTTCCCAAGCGACAGCATCCTTTGAACTCAGGCTGCATGCTTCCACTGGGCTGGAACCAAGGACCCCATTTCACAGATCTAGGGCTCGGTGAGTTCTTCTGCCCTGAAGGATCCTCTGTCCCACAAGGACGAAGGAGGTCATTAAGTCAACTAGAGAGCTCTCTTTTAGATTAGGACTCCAGTTCACGCCAGCAGGTTTAACATTCAGCATTCTTCTGACAGAACACAAGCTCGTTCACAACAGGGACTGGTGCACTTCTTCGGGTTTTGTACCCTCAGAGCCTAGCCCAGTATGTGGCACACAGAGCGCTTCCCACATCAGTCCTCCCTTCCCCCATCAGTCCTCCCTTCCCCCTCCCTGCCTTCCTCCATTCCCTCCACCCTTTTTTCCTTCCTCTTCCTCCCTTCTTCTCTATCCCTCCATCCCTTCCTCCCTCTTCCCCCTCTATTTATTCTGCCCTTCCCCCCTACCTTCCCTCTTGTTCCTCCCTCCTTTCCTTTTTCCTCCCTTCCTTCTCTCTGACCCAGATCGCCTTTTCCTCGCCCCTCCCCCTCCACTTCCCCCACACACCCACCTAACACTTCAAAGAGCAGTGGCCAGTGGGGCAGGCGCTCCTTCCAGAGCTTCATACTTTCGATGACGGCCGGCAGAATTCTAAGAGAAGTGTCGTCTTCCTTCAGCATGAGCTGGCACCCTGGCACTTCCTAACAGAAGGGAAAAAGGGGATTGCCCTCATTTGTGGCATGCCCAGAGATCCCTCTAGTCCCTGCCACCTGCCAGGTCAGGCCCAGCAGCTGCCTTCCCTGCCAGCCTCCTCTGGGCTGAGAAAGGCCCTGGCTTGGGAGGTCTCCTAGTCAGCAGGTCGAGGAGAACCTGAAGAAGTGGACCCCACTAAGTGGAGAGTGAATGACCAGCAATCTTGGGAATTACGGGGAGCGCCCCATCACGAGCCAGGAGCAGTCTCGCTCAAAAGTGCCCATGTTCTCGCCAGCTGGAGGGGTCCCCAGTGACCTGGGGAGACCGTGGGCCCTGACGTGCGCGAGAGCCCCTGGGCTCGGGCAGCTGAGTTCAGCAAATAAGATGCGTCCCCAGAAGCTGGTACCAAGGGCAGCCACCTTTTTTATCTTATGTTGGCTATCTGTTTCTATCAAATGAAATGTCTCTCAGAGCATCCAGCAAAACTGAAAACATGACGAAGATGTCGCCGCCATTGTTAACATGGAGCCGACTCCGTTTTCAGACAGTCAGTCAGGCAGCCAGGCTCTGGCTCAGGAGTGGGGCTGCAGAGAAGGCAAAACCTAGAATTTACCTTAATGCCTTTTTCCTCTGGAGTGTTCCCAAAGCTTCTTCTCTTAAGTTGACCCGGTTGAGAATTGCATCTCGCCACATGCGATGAGCTGCCGCCGCTCCCCAGCCCTCGGGCACCTGCCGCCTGAGGATGGCCCCACCGTCTCTGATTTGTTTCCAAAGTCGCCAGACCAGCACCGGGGCCACTGCTGGCCACCGAACACGAGCTTTTCCTTGGAGGTGCAAACTCATTTCTGTCCCAAGCCTTTGTACTCTCTTCTCTATGGCTAGAATATCATGAGACAATTTTGAAATTGGTTTCTAAAAAGGTCTTCTCTGATTTTCAAAAACTACAGTAAAAGATCTCGGCTCACCCCCCCCCCCAAGCCTCCAGGTGCGTCCCTTCGTGCCCTGGAGGAGCTGAAGGATGATGCCCATGTCAGAAGCGTTGGGATAAAGAGGCAGCGGCTTCCTCAGCCTCCCCATCAAGACCAGCTCTGGGCATCCGGAGAACACAAGGTCGCACTTCCTGCTTCCAGGATCTTGACCCCATTTGGAGCCCAGGCCACATTTCTGGGGCCCTTTTGTACACGGCTGGCTCCTTATGTGGGCTGAAATACAAGCAAACACTGGGCACTCCGGCAAATCTAACATTACAGGATTTTCCCCACTGGGGTAAAACGATAATGACTCACTACCCGGCTAACGCAGGCCTGCCCGAGGCCTACGAACACGTGATTACAGAGGCTCCAAAGTGCGCCAGTGGAGAAGGGAGTGACCAGACGGGGTGAGGGCGCGTGGGCAGTAGCCAAAGGGCCTTGGCCGCAAACCTTCGGGAGGGGAGGGAGGAGACCGCATTAGAGTACAGACGAGCTACTTCAGGTTCCAGTGAGAGTTATGCTGTGGGAAATGGAGAGCGGAGATGAGGGACGGGAGTAGGCCACGTAAGTGCAAGGACATAATGCTGTCATTCTGCAGACTGACCAGTCACTAAACCTGATTATGCATTTTTTCATCACTTTCAGTATATTTTCAAGAAAATAGGCAAAATCCTAAAAGCAGACAATATCTGAAATACCACAAAAGATAACAACATTGTTGGAAATGACTACAAAATGCTTCCTCTGTTGAATCAGCTTGATTACTCAGTCGTGCAGGGGGCATTGAGCTCGGCCTCAGAAATTCTGTTTGCCTCCCAGCTCCTGCCAGGGGACGCCCCTTAAGCTTACTGCTTCTTCAACCCTCCCTGTTAGGGAGGCAATGACGGCAGAAACAAATACTCACAAGCAGAAAGCTCTCTATTTACCTGGATCCTGGAGTATAGGGACGAAGCCTCGGGTAAGAGGAGACTCTCCCTGACTCCTGCCCCATTCGTCTGTTGATGGTGGGACAGGGATGGCACCTGCACTCACCGCCAGCCTGCCACTGCTGAAGGGATACTCCTCTGCCCTAGACAGCCACCACGGTCCTGACTACAGCACCGCCTGCCCCCTTCTTCAGCATCATCACTCATGGAGAGAACGGGCTCCAGAGCAGGCCCGCATCCTGGAGGTCCCCGTCTGCTGCCTACAAATGTGCCTGGAGGCCCCGTTGTCCCTCACCAACCAACTCCACTGGTTTCCTATCGTCTCCAAGACCAAATTCAGACTCTCAGTTTTGTTTTGTTTTCTCTGGGGGGGTGTTTGCTTTTAAAGTCATACACAACCAGGCCCCAGCTACCTTTCCAGCCTCGCTGGACACCGCTCCTCCTCCAGCACTCCGCAGCCAGCTACGTCGGCCTTCTCTTTTCTCCTCATTCACCATAATCCATTTCCCATCTCCACACCTTTGCACCGGTTATGCCCCCATACCGTGAATGCCGCTCCCTCCTTCTAAATGCCTCATAAGAAGACCCTCTCTTCCGTTAAGATACAGCTCAGCACCCCCATCGCCACGCCCAGGGCCTTCCCTCCCAAATTCTATCTCCTTTGTACAAACTCGTATTAACTTTGTCTCAGTGCTGCCCATACTGTTCCATGTACTCACTGTCTCCCTCAACAAGGAGACCGCCTCATCCTTTGTATCCGTACCCCAGCACAGATCTTGGGGCCTGCCCAGCACACGACGGTGGCTTGCTAAACACTTGTGGGCTGACCGATCCTTCCAAGACCTACAGGTGACCTCCACCCTCTCAAGCTGTTGTTCTGCCTCTTCTCTTTTCGCAGCCAAACTCCTAGAAAACAACTTCAACACCAGGGAGGGCAAGAGAAGCAGAGGGGGGCCTCCAGTGTCCCCAGTGATCCCTGGGGGACACAGACAGACTTAGAAAGCCACATGCTAGAATTACTGACGCTCTGCTGTCTGCTTCTATACAGTGCTATGCCTTGGTGATGGGGCCATCACCAAGAGGAATGCAAACGGCCTCTTCTCAGCTATGCTCCTCTGGACCCTGCTGGCCACCTGCACAATGCCACGGGCTACCCCGCTCCCTCTGGGCTTGCCTGGACCACCATCCCCTGGTCTGTCTCGGGCCTCTCCTCCTCTCTCAAGCCCTTCTCCCTGGCTGTTCCACTCGCTCCTTGAGTTCTAGCATTATTGGGTTCTACACAGGTAGACAGACTCCCAGATCTAACCTTCCCAAGTTCCAGTCTGACCTCACTGGCTACCCGCTGGACATTCCAGGGCCTACTCACTCTCAAACAGTGCTATCCTCTCTCTCCCAATGTACTTTACCCTGGTGCTTACTCAGCTTCCCAATCTCCTGACTTACGCAGAGCCCCAGCGCCCTTCTGCTCCCCAGTTCACAGTCTCAGAGACCTCCCTCATGCCCTCTCAGCCCACCCCACATAAGGCCAAGTCTGCCCCCTCAACATCCATCTCCTCCTCTCTGCTCACCTGGCCACTGCCCCACGTTCACCTGGATAATTGTAATAGACTCCTATTCCTCTAATGGGTTTTCTAATTTCCAGCTCTGATCACATTATTCCCTTACTCAAAACTCTTCAGTGAGTCCTGATGGCCTCCAGGAGGATGCACAAACTCCTTGGGCGGGCCCTGAAAGCCCCCTCTCTCAGCTGCCTGCCTGCCATATCATGACTTCCCTTCACTGGTACTTATTGTTATCAATCTCACTCCCAGCTGTTCCCCGACCATCTCTGGACATATCCTCTGGCTGGCTCACCTTCCTCACCTCCACCTCCTACGTCCCTGGTTTCCCCAGGGGCCAGGGCTCTTTCTCCTGGAGGGCAGGGGCATTTTTGACTTGGTAGCTCTGGCACCTTGCACAGTGCCCGGCATACAGCAGGGACTTAATAAATGCCGGCTGAACAATTCCTATTAATAATGCACTTTACGTTACAAAGCACTTCCCTCCAAACAAGCCCGTGATTATCCTCACTTTTCAGATGAGGAGACTGAAATTCAGCTGGGTGAAGTGATTCACACATAGTCCTACAGCCAATGAGACCTACAATTGTACTCACCTCCAACTACTCCAATTGTGACCTCGTGCCATGTCCAGTTGGTCTCGGTTAAACCCACTCTCTTGTGTAGGCGACGGTTGCCTTTCAAAGAAACATTTCTAAATGTTGACATTAAGTAGTAATGATCTCGATACAAATTCAGAAATGTAAGAGAAATGGATATGAAATTCATCAGCAAACGCCAAAAGCCAATTACCCGGCTTTCATCATCTTCTTCGGCGGCGGCACCTCGGGCTTCATCATTTCCCAGACGAAATCTGTAAACCAGGGAGACAGATCAGCAAGCGTTCAAAGGAGGCAAGATGCTCCCAAGGCAGGTTCATTTCTCCCTGCCCCACCCAGCCCATGAACTAATACTGTGGCTTACTGTCCTCTCCCAGCAGCATCCAAACCCCTGCCTTGGGAAGCCCAGGAGGAAACCATTGTACTTCCCCTTCCCTTGCTTCTACTGGAAGGAAAGCAGGACCTTCGCTCTTTGTGAAACAAGGGGCTGTAGGACTGGAAGGCACCCCAGAAGTCCACTCCTTCATTTTACAGACCAGGAAACTGAGGCAGGGGGAGGGGGCTGTTGTAGGGGCCTGCTCATGATCCCTCAGGCAACGAGCCCTGCACAAGGCGGTGTGTGTGTGAAGGAAGACGACGATTACTGATAACTGAGGAAACCATCCAAGCCACGCTATTTATTAGTGAAACAGGGCTAATAAACAGGTCAACGGCCTTCCGGGTCAGTCCAAAGACCCTGAATACAAAGTGAGATAGATTTTTATGTATTAAAAACAAATTAATCAAAACTTAATTAAAAAAAAACAATTAAGTAAGATACAAAATTAGGTAATCTGATTTCTAACTGGAGGAAGGACTTCCAAGTTGGGAGGGGGAGAGTAAACACGTGCAATTCCCTGAAATCAGACACTCCCCACAAGTGTCTGTATTCAATCAAAGGAACAAAGACAACGATTGGTGATCAGTATGGGGCCAGTTTTCAGGTAAAACATATAGGCTGCTTGAGATGTGGAACTGAGAAAATTCCCGGCATCAGTTTTCAGATCTGACCTGGCTTCTGGTCAGCATAACCCAGGTCCTTGGTTAAGGGTCTCTAAGCAGCAGGTAGAGGGAGTCCAGCTTCCCAGCCACACAGGGCTAGGTTCAAACAATACAATAAAATTTTCTCTCAATTCCCATAATTGAATAAAGTTTTCTCACAGGACAGACATTGGACTAGACCCATAGTTGAATAGAAAGGGACCACAGCTAGCTCCAGAATTGAGTCCCAAGATGAAGTCAGTGGGGTTCGCCAAAACTTCTCAATTCCTGCTTCCCTTCTCTTTCCTAAGACAAGGAAGGACAAAACAGAAGGATCAGCCCTCTTTCTGACAATCCTCTGATGAGTAAAGCCAAGCAGGTAAGGCTTAAAACAGGAGCTGTGCTGGCCCGAGGAGTTTTCCCCTGTCATGACAGACATCCAGCATGGAGTCCAACCAGGAGAGAGACTGCCTAGAGATGGGAAGCCCTCCAGGTGCTCTGGTCAAGCTCGAATGCCAAAGAACCTCGGCGGTAAGACTGCTGATACCTAACAATCCCCAACAAATGAAAATGTGTAGACTGCGGCCTACAGATGGACAGGCAGCCCGCTGAGCCGGCCCGTAGCTGCCTATCTCTTACCCAGGAAGAACAGCCAGACCAGAAGCTGGGAGCAGGAACGAAGACTGGCCTGCATTTGGGAACCGCGCACCTTCTGGACGGCTCCAAGCTTCTCTGTGAAACACTGACCCGTCTTTGTAATGGCCATATTCTTTGGTGTGATTTCCACACGACTCCAATCCCCAGGGAAACAGAATGGTGGGTCACAGAAGCGCACCAGAGAGCTGTGTGGTGTATATCAGGAGGCGGCAGCAGCAGCACACCACTTCAGCAAACTCCAGCGGCACAACTGGAAACTGCAGCAGGCCAGGCATGTCGCAAAGCATCGATTCCAGACGGATGGCCCCGGGCTCTCCCGGCACCAACATGATGTCCAACGGAAGCCCCCTCACTCAAACCCTGGGTGGACTGGCCCTCGGGAGAGAACGTTTGGGAGAACCTGGACAACAACTCCCGAAGTCCAGAAAGCGCAGATGGGTGGCCAGCGTCACTGTCGTCCACGCGGGCTTGATTACGCCCGCTCTGGGCCACCTCCAAGCGCTGCCTCTCCCCGATCCAGAACTCTGAAATTCCTCTGACCCCCATTTCCTCTCTTTCCATCTTTCCCTGGGTCTCACCCTCCCCAACCTCTGCTTCGTGGTCAGTGCAGTCCTGAGGCATGCTCCTCTTCTCTGTCTTCCTGGTCCATCCTCCCTGCTCTGGCCTGACTTAAGTCCATTCTCCAGCTTGACTGCTACTGGCCATGATTAACCCACTCGACACACAGCCCTGAATCCTTGAATCTCTCGCTTCCATCATCCCCCACCATCTTTTTTTTTTTTCAGTCTGTCAACAAGTATTTTTAAAAACATTTTGTTTTTCCTCCAATTACATGTAAAAACAATTTTAACATTTGTTGTATTTTTTTTCAAGTTTTGAGTTCCAAATTCTATCCCTTCCTCCCCTCTCCCCTCCCTCAGAGGGCAAGCAATTTGACATAGGTTACACATGCGCAATCATGTAAAACATTTCCATATTAGTCATTTTGTGCAAAAAGACTCAAACAAAAAAAAAAGAAAGAAGTGAAAAATAGTATGTTACAGTCTGTATTCAGACAGTATCAGTTCCTTCTCTGGAGACATGTAGCCTGCTTCATCCTGAGTCCTTTAGGACCATCTTAGATCACCGCATTGCTGAAAATAGCTAAGTCATTCACAGCATCCTTATTCCTTGTACAACGTGGCTGCTGTGTGTACAATGTTCTCCTGGTTCTGCTCACTACACTTTGCATCAGTCCATACAAGTCTTTCCTGTATGTCATTTCTTATAGTACAATAATATTCCATTACAATCATATACTTGTTCAGCCATTACCCAACTGATGGCGTCAACCATTACTGAGTTCATCCTAAGAAAGACAAACAAAATTAGGCTACATGTGCGTGTTTATTTCTCTCAAAGCTGGCGGATGGGCATCCCCTCAATTTCCAATTCTTTGCTACCACAAAAACAGCTGCTATAAATATTTTTGTACAAATAGGTCCTTTCCCCTTTTTCTTGATCTCTTTGGGATACAGACCTAACAGCAATATTGCTGGATCAGAGGGATATAGGTCATGTATGTGCAATCATGTATAATATACTTCTGTATTAGTCATGTTATGAAAGAAGAAACTGGCCAAAAGAAAAGAACCATGAAAAAAATTAAGTGAAAATCATCTGCTTTGGTCTACATTCAGACTCTATCCGTTCTTTCTCTGGATGTGGATAGCGTTTTCCATAACGAGTCTTTTGTAATTATCTTGAATCGTTGTATTGCTGAGAAGAGATCAGTCATTCACAATTGTTCACCATATGATACTGTTACTGTGTACAACAATTTCCTGGTTCTGCTCACTTCACTTCGCATCAGCTCATGTAAACCTTCCTAGGTTTTTCAGAAATCTGCCTGCTCATCATTTCTCTTTCATTCACTTCTTAACACTGTACAATTTGGCTTCCAATGTTGCCACTCAGCTGAACCTGTCCTCCCTGAGGCCCTCAACAATCTCTGCACTAGGTCTATTCTCAGTCCTCATCCTCCCAAGCCTCTCTCGAAGCACTTGAGAAAAGACTGGTATCTTCTTTTTTCACCCCACCCCTCCCTCCAAGTCAAGTCAATTGCCCAGTCTTATCAACTATACCTCCCCAACCTAACTCTATCCTTAACCCTAACCTGATCTTTTTCTACCCTCATGGGACCACCCTGGTTCATCATCAAGATGGCAGGAACAGTCAATGAAGTAGCGCTTATTAGGAAATAATTGATATCAGGATTCCATATCAATTTTTACATCATACTGGGTTTAATATTGCTGTCTTCCTCTGATTCAAAGTCTCCAACACTCTAGCACAGTAACGGTGGACCTGAATTTGAATCTTGTCTCTATTGATTTCTGCAGGTCACCTCAGGCGTGTCAGCTACCTTTTCCGGGCCTCGTTTTCCTCATTTGTAAGAGGTTAGATTAGAGTCTCTCTACAGTCATGTACAGCTCTGAAAATGATGAAATATTCGTCCATTACATTCAACCTAAAAATGTATATAAACTTGAATTTCCATTCATAGAATCACAGAACCAAGGAATCAAGAAGGACCCTAAGTATCAAGTCATCAAGTCTAACCTTTCCTAGTGGAGAAATCCCCACTGCCCTCACTAATTGTCACATAGGCCCTTCTAGAATACTTCCTGTAATAGAGAAGTCAGAACCTCAAGAAGCAGGCAGTTTCACTGCTGGTCAGCTATAAAGACCAAATTCTTTCTGAATTCAAGAACAACCTTCATGCTGTGAAATTCTGAGAACTCAAGCTGTGTAATACTAGGAATGGTGACTAAGTAATATGCTGTGCCTCTTCATGAATATGCAAATGAAAACAAAAGAAAACTATTCTGAAGGCCCGTAGATGGGAAGCATGACGATAAACCCTGGACTGAGCAGTGCCTAATACAGGCATAAAAAAGAGACATTTATTTGTACTGCTCATTCTCCTGAGACCACTTAAAAACCAATAGCTTTCAAACATGCCGAGCAGAGATTCTAGCAGGAACAAGAAAGTGATCTTCGCAGAGTGAAGTTACTATCTAATTAGAACAAACACGATTAGAGGCTGCCCCTGGAAACACGGCCATTCAAACTCCTGGTCTGGAATGTCAAGAAAGAGGGGAGTAATCTCAGTATCTGAGGACGGGAAAGAACAAAAAAGGAGGGAAAGAAAAAAAAAACAAGATAAATTACAACAAAGTTGCAATCAGTTTATACCAGAGCTGCTCCTGGTCTCTGATTTCCCACCTTCCAGACTCATCCCGATTTCCTTACCTGTTGGCAGAGGCGGAAAATCCTGAGTCTCAGAGGCGGCACCTGGGCTGGATGTGAAGGGCTGCCGGGCCCTTTTTTTCTGATTGAACAGTGGTACTGGCAAACAGCCTGCAGGGAACAGAACACTAACAATGAACAAGTCACATCTCATGGGCGTACAACGTCTGGGTATCTAGCTCTAGCTGTTTATGTTGTTTCATGCTTATAAGCTTAAGATTCCCAAATCGCATCGTTTTGTCTCTGGAAAACCCCTTCATTGCCCCATCTTCCTTTTATATGAATTTTGCTTTTGTTTTAGAAGAATGATTGCCCATCTTCTGACTCCTCCAGCCCTACCAAGTTTCACCTTCTCTGTGCACGATTAAATCCCTACTATGTGCCAGGCACTGAGCTGAGTGCTGGTGCTAGAAAGGAAAGCAAAACCTATCCCTGCTTTCCAAAGCCCTTCGAGGTCAATGGGGGAGACAACGTGCAAACAATCGTATCTGAACAAACCACAGCCCGATGAGTTGGAAATAATCAATGGGGGGCCTGGGAAAGGCTTCTCTGAGGTGACATTTCAGCTCTGAGTTGAAGGCAGCCAGTAAAGGTAGGAGGCAGAAATGAGAACGGGGAGCACTGGGGGGAGGGGAGGGGGATTACAGCAGAGAAAATGCTGGGGGGGGAGTGGACTGGCACGGAAGGGAGCCACGGGCCCGGGGGCGAATTGCCCCGGGCTCCTCTGCCAGCTTGGGTCCCAGAGGCTTCTCAGAGCGCACGCGCAAAGGCCAGGCCCAGAGGTTGCCCACAGCGCACGCGCATAGATCAAGACCAGAGGTTGCCGAGGGCGCACGCGCAGAGATAGGGCCCAAAGCCCGCCCGCGGCGCACGCGCAGAGGGCGGCCTCTGCATGGAGCTGGCCTAGGGGCGGGACGTCGAGGCCTCCGGCCCCAGGAGGCGAGGCGAGGCGAGGCTAGAAAGGCGGGGCAGGGCGCACATGCGCCATACCTGCGGTCAGGCGGGCCATGCTGCCTGGCACGCTCTTCTTCATGGCGGCGGCCGAGCTCTCCCTGCCCTCGGCTCCACTACCGGCCCCTCTGGGACACGCGCCCTCCCTGACGGACCGCCTCGCCGGACTGACAGGCGTTACTGACTGGGAGGCGCATGCGCAGTGACCGCGCGCCCTGCCCTCCGTAGTTTCTCCCGGCTAGCCCCGCCCCTCTCCTTTCTCTCCCAAGCCAAGCCCCACCTGTCACTCAAGAGGCCCCGCCTCGTCTCCGCTCTGCTCCCTCCCCAGGCCACTGAAAAGCCCGCCCAGAAGATGGAGCCTGCCCGTAAGAAGCCTCCGATCGAAAGAGGGAGATAATCAAGCCAAGGTAACTAGGAGCAACAGAGGGCGCCACCACCCGGGACATGAGGACGGCCTGCCAGGCACTGGGTACAGCCTGGGCAAAGGCCTAGAGGCCGGAGATGGAATGCCAGTCTGCCCTCCAGGGTCAGCGGAAGAAGGGAGAGGAGGTGAAAACAGCCTGGAGACCCCCAGGGGCCCTGACAGACAGTTCTGTGAGCTGGTGGTGTCCCCAAAAATGCCAGGTGAGCAGAGCCTGGCCTCTTACTAGCCGTGTGACCTCAGCAAAGTGATCAGGTCCCACTGTGTCATCCCCCCACTCAGTACACAGCGGTGACTCACTGTCCCCTCCAGGAGCACCCACCAGAAGCTCAGCTTGGCATTCAGAGTCCTTCATCAGCTGCCCCTCCTCCCTTTGCAGACTTTGCCCTCCCCATCACTTCTCACCAGCCCTGGCCTCCTGGCTGTTCCACCAGCCGGACCCTCCTCTCCTCTCTGGCCGTCCCCCAGGCCTGGAGTGCTCTCCCTCCTCGTCCCTGCCCACCAGCTTCCCCTAAGTCCCAACTAAAATTTCACTTTCTACAGTAAGGCTTCCCTCTGCCAACGTTCTCCTGTCCAGCGCTTGCTCAAAAATGCTTGTCCACATGTTGTCCCCTCCGTAGAGTGTGAGCTCCTCGAGGGCAGGGGCTAGCTCTTGCTTTTTTGCATCCCCAGCGCTCAGCGCCGTGCCTGGCATGCAGGAGCCACTTAATTGTTGCTCATTTTTGGACTGAGATGGGAAGGATGTGTTCAGATTTTGATGCGATGTAAAAGCTAAAGGCATCAATAAAACGTGTTTACATTTAAACTTTTCAATAGGAGGCTGTTTGCCGCCTGAGTTCTCCAAGACAACCGTCTTCAGAGAACAGTGGGGTCCCTCCTCACAGCTGACCCTGCAATGGCTCAGAAAGACTGCCTTGAATCCCAGAGTGCTTCAGAAGGAGGCTTCCAAGGAGGGTGGGTGGGAACTGGGCAGAGGCACAGGGGGTGGCAGGGGCCCCATCATTCCCATGCTCTCAGTAAGTCAGGTGGATGTGTCTGTCTTCACACAAGAATTCACTTCAAAAGAAAGGAAAAGAAGGTATTCCTCCCTATCCCTCCTCTTTCCCTGTCCCCAAGCTCCTGCCAAGGGCTAATAATACAGGTGGCTGGGATTGAGGCTGGAGAGGGACCTTCCTGGTCATCCTCACCCTGATGACAAGCTCGGTGCTCTTCCAAAGGAAGAACTGAGGGTCTGACCAGCCCCAACACTGGGTTTTCCAGGGAAACTCATGGAGCTCTGAGACCCAGGGCTATTTGGTCATTTCTTTTAAAGTAGCCAAGAAACCAGCTCTTTGGCCAAAGAGCTGGGGCATGCCCAGTGTGGCCAGTTACCTTTCCTCCTGGCCTGGACATGAGATGGGGGGCAAGGGGATGACACAGAGCTGGGGCTGACCAGGAATGAATGAGTGATCTTGAGTAACCTCAGACTTCTGGATCTAGAGTCAAAAGGGACCTTAGGTACCACTGAATTCAACTCCCTTATTTTACCAGAGGAGAAATTGGAACTCAGAGATGTGACATCAGTTAGTTGATCAACATTTATGAAACACCTACTATGTACCAGGCATTGTGCTAATCGCTAGGGATGCAAAAAGAGGCAAAAGACAGTCCCTGCCCTCAAAGAGCTTACAATCTAATGGGGGAGAGAACATGAAAACAAATGTATCTGAACAAGCTACATACAGGATAAATAAAAAATAATTAACAGAGGGAAGGTACTGAAATTAAGAGGAGTTGGTGAAGGCTTCCTGTTGAAAGTGGAATTTTAGTTGAGGCTTGAAGGAAGCCAGGGAGGTCAGTAGTCAGAGTGGAGAAAGGAGAGCCTTCCAGACAGGGGGACAACTGAGAGAATGCCTCTAGCTGAGAGAGAGAGGGTCACATTCATGGAGCAGCCAGGAGGCTGAGGTCACTGGATGGAAGAGTACGTGTGGGGGAGTCAAGTGAAAGAAGACTGAGAAGGTAAGAAGGGGCAGGTCATGAAGGGCTTTGAATGCCAAATAGAGGATTTTATACATGATACTGAAGGAAATAGGAAGCCACTGGAGTTTATTGGGTAAGGGGAGGTGGGGGTGGTGTATGACATGATCAGACTTGCTGTTTAGGAAAATCACTCTAGTGGCTGAATGGAGGATGGACTGGAGTCAGGGGGAGACTTGGGGCAGGCAGCCTTGCGCCCCTCCCCACCCACCAAGGTGGGGCCAGTGTCAGAGGAGAGAAGGGGGCTGTTGGAGAGATGCTGCAGAGGTGAAATGGACAAGAGATGCTGCAGAGATGAAACTGAGGAGAGATGTTAGAGGTGAATTCAACCAGAGATGTTGCAGAGATGAAATTGAGGAGAGATGCTGCAGAGGTGAAATGGACCAGAGAGGCTGGAGGGGTGAAATGGACCAGAGAGGCTGCAGGGGTGAAATGGACCAGAGAGGCTGCAGGGGTGAAATGGACCAGAGAGGCTGCAGGGGTGAAATGGACCAGAACTGCTGCAGAGATGAAATCGACAGGCCTTGGCACCATATTGGATCGGGGTGGGGGACAGGGAGAGTAAGGAGCCCAGGATGACTCCTAGCCCTCTACAGTAATAGGAAAGGTGGGAGAAGGCAGGGTTTGGGGAAAAGTTAATGAGATCAAGTTTAGATATGTTGAGTTTGAGAGGTCTAGCCATCCAGTTGGAGATGTAAGCCTTGAGGCCTGCAGAGAAATCAGGGCAGGAAAAGTGGATTTGAGAATCCTCAGCATGGAGATGGTCATTGAATCCCCGAACAAAGCAGGATAGCAGGAGCATATGCAGTTGCCCATGCCCGGGGATCCTCACCTGTGCTCTCCCTTAGAGCTCTGTGCTCAGGTGTGGCCATGGTCTTTGCCTAGGGTTCAGTGTTTCTCTCTCTCTCTCTCTCTCTCTCTCTTTTAGTGAGGCAATTGGGGTTAAGTGACTTGCCCAGAGTCACACAGTTAGTGAATGTTATGTGTCTGAGGTCAGATTTGAACTAAGTCCTCCTGACTCCAGGGCCAGTGCTCTATCCACTGTGCCACCTAGCTGCCCCAGGTTCAGCGTTCTTACAGCAGGTTGTTTCCTCTGCATCAACTCCTACAAGTCTTCCATCAAATCCTCTGGCTTTTCTAAAAAGCAGGGCCCTGGGAAACAGGGAGTTAACCTCTTTGGGAAGTAAGTTTGGTCCAAGGGCATGAAAGACCTCCCTTTCCAGTCCTTAGCCCATGTTTGGAAATGTGTTCTGGGAAAACAAACTCTGTCCGTGTTATAATAGGTAAGCAGAGACCAGCCTGTGGAAATCCGTTACACCTTGCTCCCCGAGAGGGAACCTCAATCCAAGTGGGCTTGGGGTGTCTCAGCCAGCTGAGACCGGAGCAAAGGACCCTGCCAAGCAGCCTGCGCCTGTGCCGATGAGGGTCCCAGACCTCACTGCTTCAGGAAGGAGGCCGGCTGTCAGTACCAGTCATGTTTGGTACCAACCTCTGTAAGGCTGGACGCCCTCCCGCTTAGCTGAGGTGTTCAATGTAAGGGGCACAGGGCTAGACACTTCCTCTCAGAATGCAAATACATTTGGGGTGTAGGTAACTATTTCGTCTGTCCCGGAGCTGTGTTAAGAGGCAGAAAGAAAAGAATCGTCAGAAGAAACATTGTTTCTGTGCCAGTTGGGTTGGGGGCGGGGGGAAGTCTATATAACCGTAGTCCGAGCAACTGCTCGTTGTCTCCAAGGGCAGAGTGTGTGTGGCACGGACAAGCCTGGCTGACCAAAGTGGCCGGTGCTCTCTGTGCATGTTTGCTTGAGGCTCAGGGGATGTACTCATCCCTGTAAGACCTGAGACTGAATCTCACCTTCCAATGAGGTCTCCTGCCGATGGCCATCTGCCTTGTCTGAGGAGTCGTTGTGGTCCAGGGAGAAAGCAGGAAGATCCGAGTTCAAATCCTACTTTCGATTCTTACTACCTGTGTGACCCTGGGCAAGTCAATAATCCAGTGAGTGCCAACTACACACTGGGCCCTGTGCTGAGGATGCAGAGACAAAAGCAGAACAGCCACTGGCCTCATGGATCTTACCAAAACTGGACCTATGTTCTCTGGCACCACTGAGAACTCTCATGTGGAATCAGGCCCTTCCCTGAAACTTAAAGCCTCTCCTACAGGACTGAGAAGTGAAGTCCCACAGCCAGGTTGGACAGAGGGTCCAAGGGTCCAGGACCCCAAAATACTTCTACTGGTGGCCAAGAGATCAGAAAAGGCCTCAATTTCCTCATCTGTAAAATGGGGTTGGACCTGCTTTCTAATGTGGCTGTGCTGAAAAAGTGAGATGGCAGATGTCGAGCCTTTTGCAACCCTCACCCCCGAGCTGAAGTATGAGCTTGTCACCATGATGTCTCCTCAGGGTGGACACATCTGGCTCAGGAGTGACCTCCCGGAGGAGCCCTTCTGATGGTGTGAAGAAGGAAGCTTGAGAGCCAGGGCCTCAGACACCGACGACTTCCCCGCAGTCTGCCTCCACTTTCTCATCTGTGGAATGGGGAGAAGAGCACACTCTGCCCAGGGTGAAAAGTTATCCATGGAGAGCACCTGGGAATCCTGGAAGCACTTCATAAACGTTCTCTTCCTTTGTTATTATCCAGTCAGAGGATGTGAGTTCAAGTCCTTGCTGGGTCACCAACTCTGTGTGTGGGACCTCAGGTAATCTGCTGCAGCCCGCTGGGCCTCAGTTTCCATGTTTATTAAATGAGGGGTGGAGCCAGACTCGACCAGAACCAGGTTGCTAGGCTGCAGACTGGCTTAGAAAGCCCCCAATTCCCATTACGTCATCTTTCATTTGTACTTCTGTTGAACATTTCCCCAGTACCTTTTCATCTGTGAACCTCACGGTCTCCATTGTGTGTGTGTGTGTGTGTGTGTGTGTGTGTGTGTGTGTGTGTGTGT